ACACTGTTGAACTGGGTGGGAGCAGTTTTTGTGCTTGCTGCAAAAGTAGAGATGTACGGAACACTTTGGACCTGCTCAGCAACCGTGTGCTAATAGAAAAGTGGGTTAATTCAGCGCAGGAGTTAGCTTGAATTCCGATGTTGGTGGGAACAGTATCATTTGAAACGCTGCATCACTGTTGGGTTCTTAGCAACGAGACATGTAACCCGGGGAAGCGGCGTGGCCAAGCAGGGACTTGGCCCGGACAAGGCAGTGAAGTAAGGGCCCGCGGCGCAGCCACGCCAGTCCTGTTTTCCCTAAGATAGAACTCCAACAGGAAAGGTGTTTAGCAATTGCTTGACAAGTAAGAAGTGCCCTCAAGGAGGAGATTCCGGCTGCGCTGGCTAAGGTTCCTCGATAATGGCGATGGCTGCGATCTTAGAGCTCGTTGAGCTTGATTCTGTCGGCCCACTTCGTCCGAAAAACTTCTTCAGATGTTTGTTCCTGCACTGCGTTCCTCGTGTTTGTTCTTGGCTTAACTTGGCATACTACTGCCGCTGCTATCGAGGCCAAATCACCCTGACGGAATTCATTGATGGTGCAGCGCGCTTGCGTGGTGGCGCTAAGGCGGGAGGACAAAAGACAGAACGTAAGGTCTCCCCACGCCCAACTAGAATCATGGAAAAGACAGATCTTGAAACCAACGTGATACCTTGATTATTGGTTGTCGCATGGGAGCCATGTTGTTTGAAAGCAAATTAGGGAACTTAGAAGCATTGCGTCGTGTGAGCATGAGACCATCCTGAAACTAAGGGGTGTGACTTTTAGAAAATATATAAATATCGTGTACGTGGTTTTCACAGGCATCCGACTGCTATGGGTGGGTCTGTACGAGGCCATCGACGTGTGGCGGATGGAGACGAAGCTGGAAGTGCTCTTTGAGGAGGCGCGGTGAGGTGATCCCTTTGATTGGGTGATTCAACCAACGTACTATTTGACAAACAACCAACATTAACCAACCAATCATGGTTTAGTTGAATAGTACTATCACCATTGAATATCACCAACCATCAACCAACAGGATTGGTTGGTTGATATTCAACCATCATGGTTTGGTTTCTTTCCGCCTCTTTGAACGCCGCCACTGCCTCTTTCTCTTCATCCTCCGTGCTGTTCTGTTGGTCCCGTTGGTCAGGTCTTGGACAGCCTTCGTGATGTGAATGGCAAGAGGATGAACCAAATCCTGAGGGTTTGGCGGGAGGTGTTGCAGCAGATTTTTGGTTGCAACATTCAGTCGAGTGCTGCAATCTTATGACATGCAGTACAATTAATGTATGCAAACTGTACCGTGACAGTGTACAGGCTTGCAGCGTCTGGTGTAAATGTAAAGTCTAGATTGTTGTGTAGCCAGGGTGTACTAAAATCAAGGCACATGGTGCCGGGAAAAGCGTTTGAGAAACATCACACACACACAAGATTGTTTCTAGCGCATAGCTGAAGAACTCTGGAGCTGAGTGCCAGCAATTCTGCGCAGGAGAAGGTCGACGGTTCAAGAGGTCTTGCACAATTCATCCTTCAAATTCATCTCAAGCAGCTGGGCAGACTGGGCAAGAGAGGGACGGGTGTGCCATGGACGAATGGAACCGGTATCGCAGGCTGGCGGGCGACCTGCTATGTCACTCCCTTTTTGATGTGTAAGGCCCATATCCTGGGGGTCGCCGCACAGGTTCCCGTTCCGATTTCTGTGGTTTTCGTGCAAAAAGGATCACTTGATGTTCTCCAATAGTCTGGTCCACCAGATATTCGACAACAGGAGATGGCTGGGTGAGAGTCGCAGGTTGTAGGAGTGCAAAGGGCTGGAAGACGACTGGGGCCACTGGGCAGACCCTGAGCCTTGTGAAATGGGAACACTGTTGGATGTATTTACCAGAGATGGACCCTGATGGACCCCTATGACCAAAAATGGCTCCCATTCCAAGGTTGATCACTCTCTTGAGATGTCTAGGGCCAGGCAAAGTCCGAAGGCCTTCGGGTCTTCGTTTCACGGTCTCTTTGTCCTCTTTTTGGGGTCCCCCGGTCCCACCGAAAAAGGGGCATTGCCCTCGTTTTGTTCGCTTTTCGTTGCAGCGACTCAGGCAATGTGCACGACCAAGCGCCCCCAGCGTTGGATCCCATGAGTAACGCCGTGCGTCGGAGCACCGTCCGTTACGAGGGCGAACTGGACATGGACGTCCTGGAACAAAGGAGGTCCATCCTCGCCTATGCTTCCTGAGCACACCGATGGGTGGCGTGGCCAGGGTAGCTTTACCGAGGGAACTGTTTGAAAGCGTACCTGTAGAATATATTCTTTAAATCCGGCGTTTTCTCACTGGGTGGGGCCTAAGATGATGATTCAAGAAGGAAGGACTGGTGTGTACACGCGCCGACAGGCTCAGAGAGATGCTCCCCAACCAGACTCAGCCGGGTGGTCCATGCACGACGCAAACACACTGAATGGAGACCAGCACATCAGCCGCGCCGCTGCGGGTTTTGTGGTTCCAGATCGATGAGTAGGTAGCTGGTGAGGTGCCACTTGACACCCTAGAAGTCTGTCACTCATGTAGGTTTGGTCCTGCGGACAAGAGAATTCTACCATATAGTCTGCTATAGAACACATTTTCTCAGGCTAGGTGATACCATGTGATACCCGAGCCGTGTGTGGCGTAGCCGTCGTAGCACGGTGAGGAGCGTTTCGTGGCTCCACTGGAAACTCATTGAATAAGACCTGCGCGCGACCTGTGCGCGACCTGCGGTGGTTCTCATTGATTTCAAGAAGTGACACTTTCCCAGCAGTTGGAAAGTAAAGATGACAGGTATGTTCCTATAGACAGGAACAAGGACGCTACTAGGAACAAGTGCATCGCTTCTAGTAACAAGTGCCTTACTAGTAGCAACAAGCAGCTACTAGGGGCTCCTGGCATCGCTACTAGGAACAAGGACGATACTTGGAAAGTAAAGATGATGCAATGTTTTCTCAACAAGTGGACGATACTTGGTGCGTCCAGCATGCACGGGCCTCCTGCCTCGTAGTTCACCGCTGTCGCGTGGTGCGTCATCTCGCACGCTGTGCGTACTCCTCTTCTGGGGGAACCCCCCAGGACGAATGGTCATCCTTCTTCTCACTGCAGTGCGGCCTGGGGGTTCCTCAAGTCACGGGGAACCTCCAAGTCTCTGTTGCTTTTCGAAAAAACTATGAACAGCCTCGCAGGCTCCTCAAATGAGGGGAAATCTTCCGAGGCTTTTCCGATCGGGGCCTAGTGTTCACAATGCAGGACTTGACTTTTCGTACAACCAGCGTGACTCTCTTTAGATGTTCGATGCACCTTTTCGCTTCTGCGACATTGGTGCTATATATATATATATTTATACATACATATACATGTATAATATATATATAGTTTGTATGATATTACTTTTCCGGTGAGGGTATGGCTCGATTCCAATGTTGTTTTGAGTTCATGCAAACCTCAAAGTTGATGCTTGTTTCCACGTGCTGTACCTCAGTCGAGACACTTACACATAGTAACTATAGTAATTTTTATTCAACAAAACCCCACATGGTATGGTATACAATATACGTCTTACAATCTACACATATTTTAGCAATATTATATTTAGATACATTATCTATATAACATATTTGTATATTAATATATCGATATATTAGTAGGAAAAACATATCATGCCTTTTTTTTAACACAGTATTATGTTACAACTATATTATATCATATGCACACATATTAAATCACATGGTGGAGCACCAGTTCACATCATGTGCCCAGTTTAGCAGGTCATACGATTCTGGTTTAGTTGAGAGTTCCCCAGTCAACCAGATTTGATGTGAGGATTTGACAAAATCTATGGTGTGGGTCGGCCCCCGTGATTCCTTTCGGGGCAAGGGGGCAACCATGACTATCCCCAACAGGTTCCTATGACCATATATTTGGTCCATTAATAAGTAGCTCACTTTAGGATGAGCGGACAAAGGGTATCCGACAAGATTGAACAAATCGAGCAGATGCACTTCTCATTGTTCCAGCGCTCAACCTTAGTATCCCCGCCTCTTTGTATTGAAGAACTGAAGGACCGTTCAAGGACACCCGTTTGACTGGATATCATTGACTCTTTCAGAAAGCCATGCGAACTCGATGGTCGACCGTTGAAGCGGTTTGGGCCACAGCCCGAAGAACACGTGGGACTCCGTCGGAGGGACGTTGGTTCCGTGCTGAATGCTTGCTTTCCAAGAAAGCGATTTTCCAACCGCCAAGCGGAAAGAGATGCGGAAAGGATCGGTAGAAGGCCACTCCGGCCACAAGGATCGGTCTTTTTCGTTGGCTGAACTGTGTGATTGTGTGCAGCTGGGGACATGGAGTCTCTACCCATTTTGGTACAGACTCCACCATCGCACGTCCGATCTCGCAGGGTCCCAGGTGTAGAGGAGATAGATTTCGAGGTGAATTGGCTTGTGGTTCATTTTGTGGTGGAGGCCATCGCTCCGTGTGAGGGTTCGTGCTTGTTTGGAGCGACGGTTCGGTGCAGTCGTTTTCAGCAACTTGAGGCTCCAGATTGAGATGACCAACATAATTGCTAGCAAGCTGCAGACATGTTTGCAGCACCAAAATGGGATTCAGGATAGAGCTTTATTAGGCATCCTGCATGTCTTACTTGCTTTCGAACCCGTACTCAAGATTACCCAAGTACTCCTTGGAAGAAACAGCTTTTGGAGTTCTGAACTCTCGCAACATGGCTCGCTCTCTTCACTCTTTGGTAAACCTTGGGGCAGGGCTCAACCACCGCTCTCCTCCGAACTCTCAGGTTCATCACCCCAACCCCAACCCTCCCAGAGGTCCATCACCGGTCCCAGAGGGACCAGCTCTCCGACCGTATACGGAATGAGAATGAATGAGAGAGTGGATCCTTTTAGAGTGAGGGGTCATTCGTCCTCATTCGTCCTCCACTCGACCAGCACCACTCGACTCCACCGACCCCAATGGACCCCAAAACCGATCCGTGGAGCCCCGACGACTCCTGGCTCGCGTGGCTCGCGCCGCTCGCGCCTTGCGCGTTAAGCGCCATGGGGGAGCTCAGCAGTTTGACGGGGGATGTGGGCCCAGCCTTCCCGGTGGTGATCCCCGTGGGCCGTGCCTGGGCAGATTTTTTTTCGGAGAAAGAAGGTGGCCACATGGACTTGGACTGCCGTTCACGAGTTTTACTCTGTCCGCCCTGTTTTCATGGTGGACAGAGAGTTGATGTTTGTTCAAGTATGGTAGGGGGGACAGGTTGTTTTTTTGTTTTAAGTTTGGAGTTGGGAATCACCTTGGATCAGGAGTCTGTTTGGAGAAGTTTGTCCTCGATGGTAGGGAGTTCGACCCCGAAGTTGGAGCCTCTCGCCGGGCTTGATTTGAGGACTCCAAAAAGAGGAACGCAAACCAAGGGATATCTACTACTTTGCTTTGAAGGCCTTGGACCGGACCACCCACATGCAAGAACTTGGGAGCTATGAGCGTCGCTTTCGATTGTTTTTGGGTCGCTTTCGACTGAGCATCCACCAACGTGTAGTGGGTATGTCGTCACCGTTGTGCCACGAAACCTCAGCAGGTCTGAGGTGACTTACTCACCAATCGTCCACGGTTCACATAGTTTGAACACGCCTTTGGCTTTTGGTGAAAAGAGCGCCCCTAGCTGTTTCTTGCTCCTAGTAGTAAGGCCAGGAGCCCCTAGTAGCGTCCTTGCTCCTAGTAGCGATGCCCTTTGCTCCTAGTAGCGTCCGGTCTCAGACAAGATGCTTTTGTTTAGCCAAAAAAACACCAGCAATTAACACTTTATCCAACCACCTGCGGTCGATGCTCTCATCCGTTGGAACCTCGAGTGGACTCACAAAGGAACCGGCTTCGTGCGAATAAGAGAAGTCCAACAGCATGAGAAAAGGACGGTCATGCACCTTTTAAGGGGGCCTCACCGGCCTTACCTTCCTTTTCTAAAGCTATTTTACTTCTGTTATTCCTACTCAGCCAGGGGTACCCTTTCAACAAGAACAGGCAGACACTTAGTTAACCTTTGTTTTCCGCATATGCAAACACACTGAGTGGGTTTCGGGAATCTGGAATTCATTTTCGCCTTGCTGAGGCGCTGGCACAGCTGTGGAGGAAGCCGTCGATGCGGCGACCACGACCACTCCGGCCAAGGTGAGTGAAGAAGGCCCACGTGCCTTGGTGGGTGGACAACTGACTGGTGCTTAGTAAGGAATAAGGGTGGCTGGATCCTGAGGTCACCAGTTGGTGTGTGTTTTTCATTTATTCAATGATTACTCCCAATGCTGTGTTCTTGATCGAGATTCTCAAGTCCGGAAGCCACATTGCAAGGATCTCAAATGTTGCAAGCTAGGGTAAACTGGTGAACCCGCTTGAGCGATTTTAAACTTTAAGCACCACCTTTTGTGCTCATGGAAAGCAAGGAACAGCAACTTCTCGAAGAGTTCTTGGTGCTGAACATGGTTTACGTTGACTGGGGAGGTTCCTTCTTAAACGCTGGAAGATGCGACCTGCCAAACTTAGGGGACAGACATATGGTTGCTCCAACCTCCCTGAACTCCGCCACCAGAGGACCTGAAGCCGAAGCAGCGATGTGGAAGGCGAAAAACTGCCACGCTTCGGGTGGGTGAGGCCTTTCTGGCTGAGGATTTCAGTGCAGTGGAAGGGCCTTGATGAGGGGCTGAATTTTTGGGTCGGAGGTGGTTTGGGAGTTTGTGGATGGTGGATGAAGACTCCGTTTCTGAAAAAGGATGGAGTTGGTCAAACTTCTCACAGAGCCCATCACATGCGGACGTTTGGGTCTTCCGCCCTTTCAGAATGAAGGTCGGTAGAGGTCCGGTAGAGGTCGGGACAGTTTTGGGCATGGCTGAGAAGAACATGGTCTTGGGCATGGGAAGGTTCGTGGCCCCCTCCGTCGAGGCCCTGGGCGACGTGGTGACGACGAGGCGATGGGAAGAGACGTTCGTCGACGCTGGTCGATGTGACGATGTGATGATGTGAGCCGTACTTGGTCACCATCCTCAAACCCTGGGCTGTAAACAAGTGAGAACACCCTGGGCTCGAGACCAAGGAACAGATGTAAACAGTATGTAAAACAAGATTTTGTTGGGCGTCTCCAAACAAAGTGGAGCAGATATTGCGGGATCGTCACCTGAATCATCCTGAATCAATGAATCAACACCAAGTGATGGCAAAGGGTCGACGTGCTTTCTTTCTGACCTGCGGAGGGGAGATGACCTGCGTGAAGTTGCACGTAGCAACGGTAAGTGTCAACACGTGGCATTGTAGTTCCTCTAGGCTCGGCTGGCTTTGGATGCTTTGGACTTGCAGCTGATGCAGTTTTAGCGGCCATCGTTTTAGCTGGCCTTGTCATTGCCACCTCCCTTTTACAAGGCCATGCGTTTTCACAGACAGCTCGTGCCGCACCACCGTGTCGCATCAAGAAACCTCGTGTCGTCGGCCTCAGGTTACGGCTGGCCGCAGACCGTGTATCAAAGGCGGGCTTTGGGGAGCGACGCAAGAATCCTCATCCTCCAAGAATCTGGAAAAGGTGTTGGGTTCCCGACCCCCCTGCTATTGTGGAGGGTCCATGAATTCTTAGGGTGAAATGTTTGTGCATCAAATCCTGATGAGTTGATTAGCTGATGGTACACATCCAAGAAGCCGTCTCATGTTCCAATTAGTAACAAGTGCCACGCTAGTAGTAACAGGTGCCTTACTAGTAGTAACAAGAAGCTACTAGTAACAAGTGCCACGCTAGTAGTAACAGGTGCCTTACTAGTAGTAACAAGAAGCTACTAGGGGCTC